GGTAGAACAAAAAAACATATATATAAATTTACAATGAAATTTTTTTAAATACAATAAAAGTTATTTTTAAAAATATTTTTTATTTAAAAATATATTAAAATAATATTTTTTATTTTTTAAAAATTTATTTTTAACATTAACATAACAAAAAAATTTATATATATAATTTAAAATAAATAAATTCAAAAAAATTTAAAAATATTTTTTTATTGCAAAAACAAACCTACTTTGTATCCTAATGGAGAAGGACTCTTATGATTACCTTTGATTTTAATGTCCTTTATATCTAGACAATAAATTTAATTTATAAAAGAAAAAAAAAATCTCATTTTTAGGTGTCTAGATAAATACCAAATTCATGGGTCATCGGTTAATCCCCACCTGACTCCCCGGCATGAAAGGTGTCATGGGGTAATTTTTCACTCCTAAACAAACCTGTGCAGCAGCCTAGTACCTCACTAGATTCAGCCTTTCCTCGCCAATCCCACTCATGTTTGCCTATAAACTAAGTAAGTAGAATACACAAGTAGAATAAAATAATCAAAGTACACAACAAGTTTTATAGGAACTCTTTCTCAAACTTTATTGATCTCGTAAACAAAGAGAACTATACACAAATCTGTATGTGTGCTATGCACAAAGATTTTATGTTACACCAAGCTATCTCTAACTTGCACTCTACATATTCTTGCATGCCCCTACATGTTGAACATGCCCCATGCATGCTGCTGCATCCCCATACATGCCTCCTCTACAACCAAGAGTTACAACAAGTATTTATAGACAAGCATTTATAAGGCACAACTACTGCTGCATGCCCATACATGCCTCCTCCACAACCAAGAGTTACAACAAGTATTTATAGACAAGCATTTACAAGGCACAACTACTGCTGCATGCCCATACATGCCTCCTCCACAACCAAGAGTTACAACAAGTATTTATAGACAAGCATTTACAAGGCACAACTCTCATTCCTACTTTTAAGGAAGTAAGGGGACACTATCTCACCCATGAACATAGTGACCCTATGATCTACCAAGTACTGGGTAGTTTTCCTCCATGATCTCCCATGATCTTAGTGGGTTGAGAGCAACACCTCGTTAGCCCTCATGTTTTCAGCCCCCATGATCTTAGATATCCATAACTGCCACTAACCTACATTCTGTATGCCCATCTGGTAGCCCCAATTGCCAGTCCTTGCTGCGTCTACTGCTGATTTATTGCATGCCTTGGACAATCCTTTGTCCAAGTTTCAAATCGTGCCAAGTCGAACCAACGACTTGCACAAGCTGTTGCGCGCTGTCGAATTTGTATCTGTGTGCAAGTTGCCAATTCTTGCGCTGCCGAATTCGCATTTGCATGCAGACTGCTACTGTCTTCGCTGCTGAATTCCGTGACAACCCCGATTCTCGTCAACCTATCCCCTTGATGAGTTTTCTTATTTAGCCTGGACAATCCATCATCCAACCCATGTTCGTTAACAATCTACACTGCTGATTTTTCTTTGACGAACTTATAGCTGTACAAATCTACGCTGTCGATTTTTTCCATTGTTGGTATTGCTATTAGCGTCCCTAGGCACTGTTTTGGATAGCCTGCCGAAGTGTACACCTCGTACACATTTGACACTATTACAGAAGTCCTTTAATATATCTTTGTCTTTAATATTTTTATGGGTTGAAAATCATAATCTGCTTTCTAAAAAGACTGGCATATGCTAACATGATTACAATTTGGGCCTAACCTTTAGTTTTTGACCCAACGAATAATTGGACCCTGATAATTGGACCCCAAAAAAAAAAGGACCCAAATACTTTTCATACTCAATGTGTTCAGTACTGTTCTTATTACAATACATACTTGAAGGAAGGCCGAAGCTCATTTGATGTGGTAACTTCAAGCACTTAATTATAATGTTTTGAAATTACAAAATATTAAATATTTTTTCATTTATTGTAATGTGATATTTATTTTATTACTTGTTAGTTTAACTAATTTTTTGTAATCTAGCTATTATTATTTTATATTAAAAATATTGAATATTATTTTATAATCTAGCTAATTTTTCTGTTATTAACTTATTATGATAGTTAAGTACAGTTAACACAATTATTAGATCTTTAGAAATCCAGATATTTTCAATAAGTGCTCTTAGTTAAAATCATCACAGTTTCAAACAACAAAAACAAAACTTCATTTGAAATTATCTCGTTTTATTGTGTAAATCATACGCATTTCAAATAGAAATCCATTGATAAAACTAATATAATGACTCAATTGAAAATTTTGAACTTTGAGAATCCAATTAAGAAAAAATATTTTCTAAGGACTTGAAGCAGCATGGAATTATAGTCTCAGGACTGGTTTGAGGATTTGATTATGGCGTGTGGTATGGCATATAGAGATATAACAAAGTTGATGAACTTCCAAATGCAAGAAACTTAACCTCATTCGTCTTCAGACTTGCCTGTTTTGAAGCCCAAACGATGCTTATATTGACCCAAAGTATATTGATCAATGGGCCTTTTGGTTTTTTTATAATGGGCTTACATGTGAACCAATTTCTTTCTTCCTTATTTTGTATTTAAAATTGATCTTTCACGAGGCTTTACCAGAGTCTTCCATATCACCTGAGCTTTGGGGAAATTTCTCAATACATGCATGAAAAATTCTAGTTCCAGTGGGCAGTGATGACAATGATGATCTTCAGCCATGTTCCTAAACACTCGAGTCTCATTCGTAAACAGACTATTATAAGCTACAGTCCATAAGAAAGCCTTGATTTTCTCGGGTCCTTTCCATTTCCAAATCAACTTCCATACCTGATCCCTGTTACGCTATTGATTAATGTTTCCCATCTGGTATTCGTATGCAGACCTTAAAGAAAAAGTTCAACAGGGAGATTCGCACCAAAAGGATGCATCATTCTCCATCGTGTTAACAGGGGGTTACTAGCTACTACCATAAACACTTGCATAGCAAGTATATGAGCAAAAACCTTCCATTTTCGTTGTCCGTTATTGGATTCAATTAATAATTATGTAGAAACCATCTACGATCAACGCATGTTTTCAGAAGCAATGTATTCAACGATTTCATAACAATATACCGTCTCAAGCTTCAAATTCTAAAGTTTCATCTCCTAGTTGTACTTGCAAAAACTTCACCTATGACTCTACGAGGATTTTTCAGTAGCTAATTTATATATTATAATTTTTTTTATCGCGTTTTAAGTTCATATTTCCCGAGGGGAAACATTACAAGACAACATCAGCCCAAAACTACAGTCGAGTGCTGCAAAATGTTACTTGGAGGTCTAAATTTAGTAGGGTTTACGTTTACCCTTATACACACACATCATACCATCCAAAGTAGATGCTACTACCAAAGCATGCAATCAAGCAAACCTCTCCCTTAAGCAAGCTTATGCCTGCCAGAACATTGTCTGACAGAACAAACTATATAGTTAAAATCATAGAGATGATGTGTTGGATAAAAATGGATACCTCAAAAATCATCTATTATCTAATGTCATTAAGAACCGAATAAGTTAGGTTCCATGCATCATGCATGCATCACGGAATCATGTCAGGATCCCAAACAGTACTAAAACAACAACCAATAATAGATTTGTTCAATTTAGTTAGTGTAAGATGCCGGTGGGATTAGGACCTCGATTATATCCGCGATATCAAGTACTAGCGAACCAAGTCCACTAAAAGCTTTCTCGAACAAGACAAATTAATTTGTTGGAGGTGGGGTTGTATTATACCGACATCAAGAGAGGCTGAGAGCCACATGAATTCTCTTTAGTCTTTGACAAATCTTATAATGTACCGAGTCAACATTACTGGCTGAAATCATATCTTTAATTTTTCGATGGCCATTTTTCGAATATGGGCATTTTTCTCTTGAATTGACTAGCAACATTCGGTTGGAGCTTGAAATAAAAGATTTGCAAACAGGACCTTTTCGGACCCGTGCATAGAAACTGACCAACGGAGTCTTTTGATCCTAGTTTATCTACTAACTTAGCCATCTAGGCTCCTTTTTCATATCAATTGTCGGATCAACCCTGACAATTACTCAGGTCATTAAAACACAATCAAGTTAAACAAACTTGGTCATATCGATGCTTTTTTTTTTGTTTGATTAAAAATCTAGTCTGAGTGAGGTTTCAATTCTCGAATTTTTTATCAACCTAATAAGCCATGTTGAGTTTAACAACGGTCGATAAGAGAAGATAACTTAATTGGAAAATAAAAAAATGTATCAACTATACACACATTTGTTGTATGATTCAAATACTTTATGAATTATACAATATAAGTAGACGTTGTGCTAATTAAGATAAATGAAACTTTTTTTTTTCTGTGAATTACAATGACATCGTTACCCCCAAGAAAATGTATATGTATTAATTTGGCACTAGCTTTGTAGTTACTGTTTAATTAAATTTGAGTTCATGACTACCGATCGCACTTCCCAAAATCCGCTTGCATGATGTGTCTTGTATTTTCTTGTATTTTCTATATTAGTTCTTTAATATATTTTTTTAACTTCTGCTAATTTTAATTAGAAATATTAGGAGTGTTAGGATTCCAACTCAAGACCATTTCGTCAATGCAACTTCAAAATTGTGTTAAGAAACTTCTCGAATTAAAAGTTTAATTTATTAAACGAGGGGGGTGGTTTTATAACAATTTTTAATATTTTTTATATCATCTTGCAATGGAAATTTCTCGCACGATTACAATTATATATTCGTGATCTCTGCAGTGTGTTTTATATAATGGTACTGGTAATATAACAAGCAATATACATGCTGACAGTCATTGAGTTGTTAATTCTTTACGCTTGAGGATAGAAGCACCTGTATTGGTTGAAATGAAGGAAGGATCACCACTTACTAATTAACATGGATTAATTTCACCAGTGAAAAGCGATTAATAATTGAAGATGGTTTAAACACTCAAAACCACGTCGTACGCTCACCAAATACACAAGATCGAATATATTCATAAACATTCCTGCAAATGAAGTTCACTGGATTACATAATAAAGTTTCGGATATGCTCATCAATTACAAGAAAGAAGAGACGTTTCAACGAGAGCTTTCCTCACTTGTAGTGTGTAACTGATCGATATAGAAAACGCACTAGAAAGCCTAATCAATGAGCTTCAGCCATGGCACTTATTCTCAGCTACTAATAGTACTCCTGCATATTTATATATATAAAGTTTAATTCAGTTTTTTGGCTTGATATATTCAGCATTTTCAACTGGAGGGTGTCCCGGATAGTGACCAGAAGGTGGCAATGGCTTGTGAAAGGGTGGTGGCTTCACTATAACAGGAGGCTTGTAGACTGGTGGCTTCTCCATCTTTGGTGGCTTGTAGACTGGTTTCTCAGACCAGAAGGTGGCAATGGCTTGTGAAAGGGTGGTGGCTTCACTATAACAGGAGGCTTGTAGACTGGTGGCTTCTCCATCTTTGGTGGCTTGTAGATTGGTTTCCCAATCTTTGGTGGCTTGTAGACTGGTGGCTTCTCAATCTTTGGTGGCTTGTAGACGGGTGGCTTCTCAATCTTTGGTGGCTTGTAGACTGGTGGTGGCTTGTAGACTGGTGGCTTCTCAATCTTTGGTGGCTTGTAGACTGGTGGTGGCTTGTAGACTGGTGGCTTCTCAATCTTTGGTGGCTTGTGTTCTGGGAATGGCTTCTCTACCTTAGGAGGCTTGAAATAAGGTGGCTTTGGTTCATACTTGGGCGGTTTGTAGTAATCTGCGAAAGAGGGAGTGACTAAAACAGCTACTCCCACGAACAACACTAACAAGGATGTGACTTGCATTTTGAGGCTTCTCGTGATGAAAAATCAGAAGAAAGTGTTGCCCTTTAATACTAGTTTCGGACCATTCCTCGACGTACACGTGTCAAACTTTTTATTGGTACACATTTCGTATTTTAGTGAAAAAGTCAAGGGTAAATTTAATGTGATACACAATTGTGGTGGGTGCAGTTAGGTCCCATGGAGTTGAAAATGTTGAAAATGGGGGCAAATGGCCCCTGCGAAGTAAGAAAGATGTGAATTTAGGAGTCTCGTTGGAAGCGGAGTAGTGGAGTGTAGATTGTTTTTTTAAATTGTTTTTTTTTAATATATTAAAATAATATTATTTTTTACATTAACACATTAATTAAAAAATAAAAAAAATATTAAAAACATTATTTTAAAACTTTTTCAAAGAAAGGTTGTGAACTGGTTTCAAAAGAGTTGAAAAAAAAGAAAATGAGGGCAAATGCATGTGAGGGTGTGACTTTAATTATCTTTTGCTTTTCACTTGAATCAGACTAGCTTCAAGTTATGCGTTTAGGTAGGCAAATGTTAAGTTGTTTATAACTTTTTTTTTTTTAATATGGATATTTAGATTAGTTTGTGTGTATATTCATTAATTTTAAGGATTTTAAAATTAATAATTATGTAATTTTTTAATAGCCTTAAGTTTTATAAAATTCAAACTAGTGGTCTCTAGAAAACAAATTTAGTGTTAAAAAATAATATAAATCATATATTAAGATTTTATCTAACATATTAAAATATTAGATTGAGATGATTCTTTGATATAATATCATAATTTTGATGACATTTAAGATATTGGGTTAAGATGGTTCTTTGACATAGTATTAGAGTATTGATGATCAAATAATTACGAGTTTGAATCTCACTACCCTCATTTATTTGATAAAAATTCAACACAAAATAATATAAATTATATTTTGAAACCTCATTTAACAATTTAAACTATTGGATTGAGAGGATTCTTTAACCCTTAAAACTTTACTGCTTAAACTATATCTTTCATAATTAAATTGTTTGTAACTTTATACCATATACGTATATGAGGAGGAAAGGGGTGATTTTAACTGAAGGGTGCGTTTAGGTCCCATTGAGTCGAAAAATTTGAAAATGGGGGCAAATGCTAAGTTGTTTACACCATGTGAGGCAGAAAGGTATGATTTTAATGATCTTCTGCTTTCATTGGATTCCGGCTTAAAGCTGCAGTTATATCGCAACAGCAATTCTCACATAAAAAAGGAGAGGAAAGGTTACAATTACAAGCAAAAGTTGATTTAAACCTTTCACACTATGGCTGCTTAATGTAGCTTATTCAGGGAAAGGTTTCCGATATATTGCACTCAAAATCATTTTCCCTGCCGCAAAGTACTGATCAATTAATGAGCGTGATTCCCACTAGTTATATAATAACTATTGTGTTACTAAATTGTAAGAAAAATAATCAACCAATTACAACATTGCACGTCAAGATATAATTGATTATGGATTGAAACAACAATTTTTTTTTTCCAATCTTTTATTTATTTTTTGTTTTGCTTATTGAATTTTTTGTTTATTTTGTTCTTTCATGTTATGTTGATTTAGAATTGAACTTGTTTATTTATTTTAATTTATTTTTTATAGAATTATCATGATATAATAAAAAATATTACTCTATTTTACATGAAAAAAATTGATTTATTGCCTAAAAAAATAAAAATTCAGGGATCAAAATTAACAAAGAAGACAAGAAATAACGTTTCCCCTTTATTGGTATTGTTCATCTAGTGCCTTTTTAAAGAAATTTGCATGTGGGATTTTTTTATTTTATTTTTGATCATTTTATTTTGAAACTTTTATGTTTTATTTCAAAATTTTATTGTTTCTTTATATTTTAATTTATGAATTTGAAAAAAAGAAGAGAAGGAGAGTCACCAAAAATTAAAAAAAAAAAAGAAAATGATCAATCACATAAAATTTATGAGAAAAAAAAACTAAATTTAATATTATTATGTTTCTCTTGATGAGAAAAGTATCATTGACATGTTTTTAAACTTTTATATATTAGGAAAGTTTTTTTTCTTGATTTAGTTATGTATTTTTGAACTACTTAGGGGTGTTTTGAATTAAGAAATTAATTTATTACAATTTTAAAAATATTTTTAAATAAAAATAATTTTATAATTGTGAAAAATATTTTCCTGATTTTCCAACTAGCTACTTCTCAAATGATCAAAATTTAAATTGATAAATAACCTGCCATTTAAGAAAAATATGTTGTTTGCCATTTTCTTTTTTTATAAAAAAAAGAAAAAGAAAAAGGGTTAAGCACTCAAGCGTAACCTTATAAGCTCTCATGCACGGCCCATTTTTATTTTGGTTCAAGCGTGCGGGCCCCAAATCCTTTGCCTATGCACCCTAGCCTGTTTCTATGTTTTTTTCCTAGAAATTTATTTTGTTTTATTTCATTGAAATGTATTATGATAAAAAAGCTTAACATGATATTGAAATCCCTATTTAATTTTATCATGATTCTTAAATAATACTATTTTTATGATGTTTTTAACAATTATTTTCAATTATTGATACCTAACATGCTAGAAGAAAAAATAAAATATTGCTCATGAATATTTAATGAAAATAAATTTATTTTTCTGGAAAAATTTTGATAGAGTTTTTATATCATTTTATCATATTTATTAAATTTTTTTCCTTCAATCACATACAAAGTTTACAATTAAAAAAATACTTTTGTTTAAAAATTCAAGAAATACATTGATAAGTAAATGAAATTTAGGTAGTTAAATATTTTTTTCTCTAAATTTATTTGTTGTTGTTTTTACAAAAATATATTTTTATAACTCTTTGATTAAATATAAAATAATTTTTTTAAAAAAACAAGATTATTAAATTGGCAGGTTAGGGCCATTACCTAAGTCATACCTTGTTTATTTTGAAACACCGCCTAATTTAAAAGCCAGGACGAGGAGTTACCATGTGACGAGATTAATTGGGTTTTAATTATAATTCCAATAAAATCCACGTGATGGCGTGCATGTCACTCGCTAGTTAATGGGCTGAGACAAAGAAGCTCAATCTGATACTCTATAAATGTTTCACTGAATTGGCTACGAATGTCGTCGGCCACTTGTCAAATTGTGTAGGCATTTAAACCTTCGTTGATTTTTACAGGGAACTAGACAGACTTTTCCCATTATAGCAGCCTAGGTTGTAATTGGACCAAGTTGGAAGGAAGAGATTAGTTTGTTCTTGTATTTTTTTTTTTTTAATTTTTATTTTTTAATATACTGATATTAAAAATAATTTTTTAAAACTAAAAAAGCATATAATTTTAATATATTTTAAAATAATAAACATTTTAAAAAATAACTGATAATATACTTCTAAAAATTTCTATAAACCTTCTCTTACCTAGAAAATTTTTAGGAATGGACGGTAAAATTTAAGGGGTAAGTATGAGATGGGGAAACAAAATGTTGAGAGGAGAGAATTTTTAAGACTCGTACAAATAATCAATAGGTGCCACAAATAAATATTATATATTATAATTTATTACGTATAATTTAAAGTTTGATTTTAAATTTAAATTTATTGGATTCCACCATTACACAGGAATGAAATATTCTCAATATTTTATCCTTTAATCACTTTTTACATCTTTAATATATTATCTTTTAGCACTCTATCTTAAATCAAACAGAACCTAAGGAACCATGTCCACCTCTCTTCGGAGCCCTTTTCTGTGTCGGTTGGTTGAGGATAATATTCAAGGTCACCAAAGAGCTCCCAAGAGGTAGCAATTTTTCAGCCCAAAGAGAAGGCATAAGAAGTGAATACGAGATAGAGATGAGGCCGGGCTCTCAAGTGGCAATGGACAATGGTCCACCACCATCACTTTCCAAAAATGCAAAAACGCTTCAATTGGGTGGTAGCAGCCTGCCGCCCCGCTTGAAAATTTTCGAAGAAAATAAGCGTCAAGATCGCTGTCATTATCAGCATTTCTTTCTCTCGAGGAAGAGCTTCTTCTGGGGGTCAATTTTTCCCACCGAGCCACTACTTTTCTACTACTCGAAACACTCGCTACTCGCTTTCCATTTATCTTGTTTTTTTCTTTGTCAAAATAACACCGTTCATTCTTTACTCCACTACAAAGAAACCCAGACCCCCAAAGAGATCCTAGTCCCTTTAATCCTGTTTCACCCTTTTATTTTAGTCAGAAGACTTAACAGAGGCAAAAAAAAAAAAAAATGGAGCCTTTTGTTCTTGATGGAATCATTAATAGGCTGCTTGGAGGTGCGGGAAACCAGGTTCAGCTTTCCGAGGCTGAAATTAGGCAACATTGCATCACTTCGAGGGAGATTTTCTTGAAGCAGCCAAATCTTCTAGAGCTTGAAGCTCCTAACAAGATTAGTGGTAAATATCTTTTTATAAAACCCTATTAGTTTTCTCCTAGTAATATTTATAAAGTCAAAATTAAAACTTTAATTATTTTTTTAAATTTTTTTCAAGTTGATTTATAAAATCTGGAACCAATTCCTTAACCGGGTCTACTTCCAAGTCGGGTTTGATAATTATTCCAGGAGGAGATCCATTAAAAAAAAAGTTAGTCTTAAAGTAAATGTCAACAAACATAATGTGAACAAGGTACAAGAATTTCCAGATATAATTCACTCCAAAATATTCCCTGTGAATTTTTATATTCTTATAGATTCTCATAAAAAATAGGGATTGAGCGTAGATATTCCATGGGCCACCATGGGGTTAGGTGAAGGCTGTTATGGCCTAACCTAGGGTTGGACTCAAAAAAAGACAACCTCGTTTTGGGTTATAACTTCGTGTGATGGCTTTTTAAATAGAGGATGTTTAAGGAAACTATGACCCATCAATAGCCCTGTAATTATCAAAAATGCTTTTTTAATATGACAAAAAATATACAATATAAACTTTGATTGCAAACTTGAATCGTAAAATTATAAGTAAAAGTAAAATAAAGTAATAAACAATACAAATGTCCAAACACTTAAAAATATATTATTCAAATAAAAATTCATACATGGTTTAAGTAACTTCAAAATACAATACAATACAATACAATTATGTTCATAGAATTTTATTAACTAAAAATTAACAAACTTAAAACAAATGATATATTAGCGTGTCATGTCATATAAACAATGGTCTTACAGCTACCACTAAGATCAAATTAGAGTTTCAGATCTTTAAATGCTCTCCCCATCTCAGACTCAGCTTTGATTAAGAATTGTGAATATTTGCATAATCAGTACAAATAGTTCTCCATATTTTGTTTCAAGAATCATAACCCTTTTTGCATAAGAAGATATACAAATATAAACAAGCTCCTAGTTGTTGTCGTACCCTCACGAGAGCTCGACGTCGCGGCGACCCTTCCTGGTAGTAGGGGTTGATGTTGGGGTCTTTGTTTTTGTGAAAAAGGGAGTCGCCACCTAGTATTATGGTCACTAGGAAAACCTAACTGGTCTTTCAGAGATTTTAAGGCAAGGGACTGGTTGCGTAAAGGGAAGGTTTTAGCACCCCTAGTACGCCCTACCTAAGGTAAGCTGCTTGGTGTTTGGTTTGCCTATAATTGCTATGGTGTTAACATTCTTTAATCCTATCAGTTCCCTAGAATAATTCTGCTATGATGTATGAACTTGGGTTCAAAGTTTAAGGGAAAGAAACCTTAGCCAATATGGATCATACCTTTTGGTATATCTATAGAGTGCCAAAGAGAAACGGTGCAGATCTCTCGAAGTCTATGCTTGATTTTGAAATAAATTCAGAATTTATGAATTTAAAGACAACTAAGATAGAAATCCAATGAGATTCAATATGCTTAAGAGCTCATTTTTCACTTAGTATTTCAAGTGTTCGCTACTCATAAATCACAAGGAGAAAAAAAACAAAGTTAGAAATCCACGGAAATTCAAGGCGCTTTAAAAGCCCATTTTTGCCTTAGTATTCCATACTTTCATGACTCATAAAATGTGAGATCAAAATTTGAAATGTCCCCAATTATAATTGAGGCTTCTTTCAAGAATACACAATTAAATTGTTCTCAAGAAATTTTAGGCACAAATATGCCCTTATGTTAAAAATGAATAAGCTGTATTCCTATTAACAATATTTGGACATTTACCTTTCATAGGTTTATTTGCCCTTATATTATTAGGGAATAATGACTTATTATTCCTAAAAAAATATTTTGATATTTACTACTTGGTTTTTTTTTATTCAAATATTAACAGTGAACAATAACAAATTATTCCCAATAATATTTTGAATATTAACCCCTTTTGGGGTTTCTTTATCCAAACATTACTAATGAATAACAAATTATTCCTAATAATATTTTAGATATTTATCCCTTTGGGATTTTTCTATCCAAACATTAATAGTGAATAAAAGCAAGTTCCCCTTTGTTTTGAATATTGGCCAACACCATTTGGAATTTACAAACATGTTGTAAAATCCAAGATGCAAGAAAATAATTTTTTTTTGTTTAAGAAATCCATGTTAAAACATTTTTTGTTTTACCTCGAATATTTGCTTCTTTTTTTTGAAAAAAATAATTTAAAAATATGTTAGAGTATTGGCCGTATGCAACATACAAAAATATTTTTTTACATTTTTAATAAAGAAAAACACTATTTATCACAACAATTAAATATAAATATCACAGCCAAAGCCTGTAAAACATCACGAGAACCGGTTCATCAAAATCCTCAAAGTAACAATTTGAATTCCAAAAAATAACGAGTAATCGTAACGATCACACATGAACATCACAGTTAAAACTATTCTAAAAAAACTGAAGATGACCCCTTGAAGCCAACTTTCCACAGAAAAAAAAATTCAGACTATGAACTCAAATCCTAAACATGGCCTAAACCATCCTCTTCAAACTGACGAGAATGAATCTATGTGCACAAATCATACGGCAGAACCCATGACTCGACCCTTTCTGTTTTCCTAATTTTAGGAGTTATCATACTTCTTTCATGCAACAGGAAAAAAAAAAAACCTCAGAAGTGTACTTTTGACACCTTCGTTACAGGCTAAAATTATACAAACAAATGACCACCTATCTCCTCTGTAAACTGCAGATGGAGAGGAATAAATAAAATGACCCAAGACCCTGTTAACATGATTGCTTCATGTAAAAAGGAATTTCCCTCCTGCTCTTGCTTTCTCCTCTGGGCAAATAACCCTTAGGAGCAAAAACCCTTCCCTATATAATGCTAAGACAAAAAAAATTGCACAGAGGAGAAAAAGGATACTGATGGGGAAAGTGTAAGGCTTACGATTCCTCCCAAGTAAGAGGAAAAGAAAGGAGCCCGCAGCGTTAACATACACACCCATTTAAACTCATAGCCATGGCAGAAACGATAACAAGCATGCACCTTTGTGACCAAAACAGAACTCTAATGTCTAAAATAAAAGCAGAAACCAGCAACTCTTCACATAAGCTTTTATTTACTCATAGCCATGGTAGAAAAGGTAGGCCAACGGCACAACCATGTGACCAAAACAACACTCACATGTCTAAAATAACAGCAGGAACAGGTTTTCAAAAAAAAAAGGAAACAGCAGGCATCAAACTACACATATGATAAGGGAAAAAAAAAAGGCAGAGACTCGTACCTACCGATATAGCTTACAAACAAGGAAGTATAGAAGGATGGAAAGGCCTTTGCTTTGCTGAGTCTGAAGACCAAAGACAGCCTTCCTCTTTCTGCCGTTAGGAGCTTCTTTAAAACCCTTTAGAGTTTTGTAAAATCCTTTTCGGCAAGGGAGGATGAGCTGAAAACGATCTTCCCTTTGTCCTTAAACTAATTTTCTGCTTCTCTCCCCACTAAACCTTATGTTAGCTCTCTGCTTTCTACTCTTCTCCGCCCCCCTTTTCTCTCTGTATTTAAACTCTCTCTCGTATCCCTCCCTTTTTTGTTTTTCTTCCGCTCTGTTCCTCCTCTTTTCTCTGTGTCTCTGCTTTCTCTTTTCTTTCTTCCCCACTATTTTCTTTTCGTCTCTCTCTTTTGTGTTCTCCTCCTTCTTCTCCCTTTTTTTTTCTTTGCAAAGCTGTCTGTTATATATGCAAGCTGAAGACCCCCCTCATTCTCTCATCTCCACCGTATGTCTTAGGGAAACAATCCCAGCCCTTAGATGGTGATGAGGCTCCCCCCATGTCTTCTTCTACAGCTGGCATAGAGGAGGTGCAAGAATCGTTTCCCTTGGACTGCTCTGAGTTACAACTGCACAGGCGTGAAACGGGGGGCTGTCCTGTACATGATAGGTTGCAGAGGGAAGGACGACAAATTTCAAAAATTAGCAGGGAATGGTAGCAGAGGGATGGTACTGTTCTGAAAATGCAAATAGACAGTGCCATAACGGGGCTGTTTCAGAACGGTGCCGCTTCTTTTCTCAGCTGAAGAAAGAAAAGAACAAATGCGAAGTAATGTATGACGACGTCGTTTGAATTGCTGAAAAAGAATACAACAACAGCCACGTAATTCATGGTGGCAGATTTTTCTGTCATTTGCTGATCCTATCCCCTTTTTCTATTTTTTTCTTTTAAAATCCGGCTAAGTTTCTTCTAATTGATACATGCAATTAACTTACTTATTTTATTTTTTTCAATTCAGTCCTGCAAGATTGAGGGGCAAAATCCTTCCTGCAGCAGAAAAGTTTTGCGGCAGAATTTTGTAACAAAATTTTACGGTAGAATTTTCATTTCCTCATCAGATATTCAAACATGAATATCTTGAGCTCCTGAGATTGAAATCAAGCTATTCAAAAACCAAAATTTATCTACGCGTGTAGGATTGCAAATTTTACGAAGAATTCAAGGTGAGAAAAAATCATTTTATAGAACAGAATCGGGTCGTAATCTGGTTTTTGGTGAAAGAGAAACAAAATGTTCTCCTAATCTGATTCAAAACCTGACGAATGCTGAGCATCCTGATATGATTGGGAGTATAACCTAAAAATAACAACCAGAAAAATTATTACGGGAGCAGTAATGTTTCTAGTGCAACTTGGGTCGGAATCCTGCTCACGGCGGAATTCTCCACTTTCACGTCAGATATTCAAACAAGAACTCTCCACTTCTCCCACTTTCATGAAGGATAAAAAAATAAGAAAAATTCATTTTGAAGTACAAAAATTGGCTGCAACCTAGTTGGTAAAAAAAAAAAGCCCCTTGATCTACATCAGGAAATTGACAATACCAAGCACCCTACTTTGACTGAGAGTCTGCCATACAATAGCGAGCCTTAGGACCCAATAAAAGTGTAGGTCAATTTTCAGCATGTCATGATTGACAAAATATAGTCGGGATGGTTGGATATTGCATGGAACTAGATCAGAATCAAAGCCTAGGCTCGAACCAAAAACTTACGACAATGGTAGAGCCAATTTTTAGTGCAGCTTCTGAGGGATTTATCTAACCTTAGAAACCAAATAGAAAAGGAATGAATTTAGCATTTTAAAGAATCCTAATCAGCCTAAGAATCCTGATAGTTTTGACAGCGAAAGGGTAGGCTAAGGAGAGCAGACACCCGCTTAAACATGGTCTGAAACACATTTCCTTCTTTTTTTTTGTTTTTTGTCAATCTCCCCGCAAACTTGAACTAAACCCCTGCCTTCAATTTAAAAATGGATATACACCATCTCCATTAGCGTGTATGACTAAAAAATGAGTAACGACAGTTGTTATCCAGGATATATAAAGGAAGTAAGAATTAGGAACAGGTAAATTTTAATTCATCATATACTATAAAAACACCAACTCTAAAACTACACCTTTGCATTAGAGACACCCCACCTTTTGTATAATAGAGGAGCACTCCTTTACAACCTTCAAAGACAAATCATTTCAGGCACCTCTCTCTGTTTAACCAAATATTCTTCGACTAATTCTTTTAACTTTATGTGCAACAAGAAGATGAGATATCATATGACTGAGAATCAATTTATATACCAAAATTCATGACAATATTAAGCATTCATTTCATGCTCTACCCTTCTAGTAGGAATTGCATTAAAAAAGATGGGTTTTAGAGCTATATATGATGTAGCAGCATTGTAGCAATCTCCATATTATTTTCACCAATAGTTAATAGGATACTCTAAAATTCCTAGCTATCCAAAGTGGTTGGCTTCAGAATTCATTCAAATTCACCATTAGATACTTACAGGAGATCTTGGATAATTAAAATCATAAAACTAGAAACTAAAAACAACCATTTGAAAGCAACATATGTGGTGTTGTCTATCAAATTAGGACACAAACATGTAAAGATTGCAAAAACCTAATATGGCAACACATACACTTATACAAGACTTGTCAGCACAATTAATAAGGCATGTGAAATTACAAGAGAATAGATCTTATGATTAACCAAATATTAATATGACAGGCACTCAAGTCCTTTTCTATATTAGACACTTCATTGTCATAGATGAAGGGGAAGAATAAAAGATTAATAGAAAATAATTTGTTTACCAGGAAGATTTTCAGCACCAGTTGTAAGATTAACAACAAATTCAAGATTATTTAATTGCCAAATCACCCAAAAATGATATAAGATTAATGGTCATCTTTTGTATAATAAAAAATGATAGAGAAGGAGAGAATCCATCAAGCAAACCTAGCCATAAATGAAAGAATCCAGCAAGCAAATTTAAGAGAGTGGAAATTAGAAATTGGAGACCGGAGAGGCGGAGACAATCAGATTAAAGGCAAATAAAATAAAGAAAAAAATTAGGGTTATGAGATAAAGAAAGAGAGTAGAAGGCATTAGCTTCAGCTAGGTTTAACATTTGAGAATTAGAGAATGTGAGATCTGCTTCTGTTAAGATTGAATTTGAGAATTAGAGAATGTGAGATTTAGGGAAAGGGGAAAGGAAAAAGAAGAATTTTGTGAGACTAATGAGATGGAGAGGAGTGGATAGACAATAGTGAGAACAATCAATAGTTTTTGTTAATTCTGTCAAACTTGGTAAACTCGGTCCTAGTTTGACATATTTTAACTGAGTTTACTAATTTTTGATTTTACTACTTGATTTTACACTGTATATTTGAGTTGACATGTAAAATCGTATGATTTTATGAGTCAACTCATGAGTATGACAACCATAAGTAGCCCCTCAAGTCTGCTTATTTTTGGAGAAATAGGGAGACTTAAGAATAAAGAAGATTTGACTAACCTTAGTTAAGTTGTGATCCTGAAAAATACCTACAAAAATACCTGTATAAAGTCCTCTAATCTTAATGGGGGGCCCTTTGAAGATTAAGTCATTACTAGGTACTTTATGTAGTAAAGAAAATTAATGAAAGTATTAATGAGTTTTTATAAAGATAGAGAAGAGGAAGGGGAAGAAGATTTAAGTATAAGGTTTCAAACTTCTTTCTGTATATTCTTGCCCCCTTTTATATTACCTAACTTGACCTGTTTCATGCAACGTAGGAGGGGTATAAATATAATCTTGTGTGAGTAATATAATATTATCTTATTGCTTATACTATCATATCTAATTAATGGAGATATGGACTACTTGTTTGTATTTAACAAGATTGTAATGAGCATCACAATTATTAACCCAGACTTAAGGTATGAGAGGCTCAAAGTGGATTGACCTTTTAGTTGCACACTCAACCTGAGGGACATTGGGTTCAACTCACATACTAAGCCTAGGACGAGTTGGGTTCAGCTTGCGACTGTGCCCAAGCTTTATGTATAAAAGCGGTGAGTGCATTTATCTAATGCCTAAATGATTGAAAATTTTCATTTCTAAATATATGTCCTTATGTTCCTTTATAGTTATAGCACACAAGGCTCATTAGATAATATGCACTAAAAAAATGAGATCTAAGTTGTTATTACCCATTTTTAGGCCCTACGTGCTGAAGATGTTATGTGTAACTTTTGAATAAAGTGTAGGAGTTTAGCTCATGTTTACTGGAAGATTGACAAAAGCATAGAAGAAAGAAATGTTTTTCGAAACCTATTTGAGATGTTGTATACCCTCGTTATCCTCCCTTTTTATTGCTAAAATCATCGATTTCTTAGATTGATTATGATTCTTCATAATGTTAAATTCGTTCATTCTTTATTTGGTCTTTAAGGTTGGATAAATTTCTTAGAATTTGCACAAAAAAACTGATTTTGCTATTGTCATAATTTTTTTGCTCCAACTTTAACTCTGATTCTGATTTGGTTTTGTACAATATCTGACCATTCTTGTCATATTCTGTCACTTATCACATGTTGAAAAATTGACATATATCATGACATGTTGAAAAATTGACCTACACTTTAATTAAGTCCTAGGGCTCACTATTTTTATGGCAGACTCTTAGTTAGATTGGGATGCTCGGCATTGTTAGTTTCCTAAATCAGATAAAGAAATCCTTTTGAATAACAAGGTTATGGTTAGATTATGTTCTTCAAAATGAATTTATCTTACTATGAACCCTTCATAAAAGTTGTATACTGACACGATCAAAGAGTTGATGTCTTATCTCAAGTGCAGGAATGTCAAAATAAAATAACCCGGTAAGACCGGGGTCGAACCACAAGGAGGTGAATTATATAAATTACAAATAAAAAAAAGATTTGAAGAGAATAATAACAGAAAAGGAGTTGAAGAAAGTTTTGGGATGTGATATTAATGTAAGGATTAAATAATAATAAAACATATGTCAAGGTTAGAGGATTCAAATAAATATAATATAAACTCCTTTTATTACTCAACTGGAAACCACACATAAAGGAGGTTCTAATCGGATGATTTCTCTTTATTAGCTCATTATAAATTATTATCATGATCATATTAATCATCTTATCTAAGTAACACCATACTTATAAATATCATCAGGCATTCATGTTGCTAGTTTATATTAACAACAAATCAAGTTCCTATCATAATAACTATGTCGGCCGAAAACTATGAAGGATCAAGCATTTGATGTACCAAGTATTATACAACACAAATCTAGATTAACCATTTAATAAGCAAGGTATTAAGAATTAGTAAGATAAAAAGATAAAACATGTTAATAACAATCTTTCTTGGATATAAACATTAAAATGCATGTTGAGTTTATATTATACCTATTATAACACCATTAAAGAAACATTTCACCTTGACATAATTAACTTAGCTAAACATTAAAAAGGAGAAAAATATAAATAAATAATATAAGCTAACTAAGTATAGGAAAGGAAATGAAAGAGCATAAACAAAAGATTAATATAGCATGAAAGAAAACTTGAACATTACAAAGATATAAAGAGAAAGCAAGAAGATGACTTTGATCTGAAAATCAATATGACTAAATACATGGCAAATACCTCCTTTTATAGGTTAAAATTCAGAACTATTGATTGATTGAATAATTGGTGGCCATCCATTGATTTGGTGGCTAGTTTTTGACATCGGTGGCTGTTATTTTTTTGATATTGTGGGTTGATTATTGATATTGTTGGCTGGCTAAAATATCATTTCTAACATTAGAATTATAGCTCCCTGAATTATGAAAGTTGTAGAAAATTGTCTCAGCTTTCCAACTAAAAAACCAAAGCTCATTTGGACTTCTGGAACTCAAGATATGAGCTAAAAACTGAATAGTGGTTAAGCTGCACGACAACTTCTGACTTCTTCATTGTTGCTAAGATTTGAACTTGAAAATGGTAAAATTGAGTTTTTAGTCCACATGAAAGTTGTAGGTCTATGTCTTACCTTTCCATCCATATAAAGTGGACCTAAATCTGATATCTACAGCTCCATATATGATCCAATTACCGAACGGTCTTCGAATTTGGATTGCACCAACAATATTTTTCTAAGTTTGGCCCTCTCTTTGTCCTTTCAATTTCAATACTTAAACTCATCAATCAATCATTTTATTTATTTGATAGACCTGCATTTAAGATGAATATTTACCATGAATTAAAGGTATATTATATTATTAGACTTGCTAATATAAAATATGCTTTTATTAGGAAATTTAATCATACCTAAGGTGCAATATGATGATATAAATCCTTAATGAGAATACACTTTTAAGTACTAATCATATACCTATACACGTAGATGAATTTAGGTTTTTGAATCTCCTAATTTTGATATCATAAGCTCAAGATATTCCCATGTGAATATCTAACAAGAAAGTAGAGAATTGTGTTGCGAGAAGGATTCTGACCCGAGTTTTATAATAAAGACTTTGCTTCCATCATAATTTTGTTGATTTGCAAACACCCTAAAAGTAAAGAAAAAAACCGACTCTATTATCATTATCAATTTTTGGAACAGTTGTGGTACACTTCCTTGCTGTTGTTTTTTAGATCGGTAGTGACACAATTTGTGGCTGCTAATTTCTAGATCGGCAGAGACGTAGTACTTAGCTGTTGATTTTAGAATTGATAGTGGTAGAGTTTAAGGTTATCGATTTTCTGAATCAGCAGCGATGTAGTTTTATACACCCAACGACAACCAACAACACTCTTACTAAGAGGTAGAGGAACCAGATCCCAAGTATCTGTCTTATACAAAGCAGAAAGTTCCCCATCACAGATAACCAGAATAGTTCTTCCTATCCAACCTCACACTCACAGACTGAAGCGAATCATCTCTTTCAGTAACTATAATCAACAATCACAGATAACCAGAATGCAAAAGCAGCAGTAGAAAACAAAATAATAAATTGCAGAAACTGAATAGAGATTACAGAAACTAAACAAATATC